AGCAGCTTTGTGCTCACTTAGGATCCAGGAAATGCTTCCTTAAGCTTCCCCACTTAGCTGCTGTGTGTGTAGGACAAATGGTGTTTGCTGCCAGCTCCAATATGGAATGATTAGTTAAGGATTTTGCTGTAGGAAAACACTCTTTTATTTGTTATTACTTATTTCTGTATTATTTATTTGCTGACAACCAACGAAGATCATGTGTTTCATATATGGATAAATGTAACGTATTTACTCATCATTTCCCCTGAGCTGATTAGTATTCTTCCTCCAGCCTGTGGGTGCCAGGGAATGGCCACTTGGAGCCATGGATGTCTGCCTAACCTGGCACGACAGTTAGGATCTCGATTTTTCTGCTTCTGTACAATGTGTTGAGTCAGAGTTTCAAATTCCTTTTGCTTTTCATTTCCCTTTTGTATGAAAGAAAGGCAAATGGATGCATTCCAAATATAATAGAATGTAGAATAAGGTTAAGTTTATTTCATAGGAGCAAGATGCCCTGCTCTCAGGAGATCATATGGTCCATCTGTTATAAAAAGTGTATTTTCCAGTTTGTTTCTGGTCATTTGTAGAGGCTGATTGTTAAAAGACAGGATTTGGTCAGCATCCTCCCTATGAATTTTCTGTTCTGTTCTCACCAGGGCATAACGCTTGTGTCCAGCCAGGCTGTGAGCAATGCTAAGAAGATGGGGTGGCCCATCAGAGAAGTCACCACTGGTGTTTTTGAAACTGAAGCCCCAGGGGGATACAAGTTCTACCTGGAAGACAAGGAACAGCTCAAACAAGGTGAAACATAGACACTGGCTCTTACTCGTGTTCGAGAGATTTACAAGTGGGCTATTAAATCAGGCTGTGCATTTGTGTTGATGGAGTTTTATGAAGCAGATATGCTTTTGTTCTCTCTACATTGCTTCTGAAGAATGTAAAACTGTGCTTTTAAAACTAGGGTATATTTGTAACTAATTTCACATGATTGCATTCTTCAAGATCCTGTGCAGAAGGTGACCTTGGGTGTCTCCAATCTCCAGAAGTCTGTTAATTACTGGTCTAATTTACTCGAGATGAAAATCTACGAGAAGGATGAGGAAAAGCAAAGGGCTTTATTGGGCTATGAGGATAACCAGGTTAGTCTTTGGAAAACTTTTCGCTTCTGATCTTTAAGAGTTACATCTCACCACAGAAAAATTCTCATTTCGTGAGAACAAAATCTTAAAGGAGAAAAAAGGTTTTAATTAAAGCAATTTTGCACTTAATTCTGTGCATTTTAATTAAAGCTTGTGTACAGTCAGCTGCATTTTTTAAATAAAAAAGCTGTGGTTTGCTCTGGTAGTTCTGGCTTGTTGGGAATTATGTCTATGGGTGATTTTGAAATCATCCACATGACTGAAAAGCTGGAGCAAATGTAGCATGGAGAGCAGTGTCCCTGCAAGTCAGGCTTGCTATGGAAGTTGTGGCTGTTCAGCCTGGAGAAGGGAAGCTGTGTGGAGACCTCAGAGCAGCTTTCAGTATCTGAAGGGGGCCTACAAGGATGCTGGAGAGGGACTCTTCATCAGGGGCTGTAGCAATAGGACAAGGGGTGATGAGTTTAAACTAAAACAGGGGAGGTTCAGGTTACATATAAGGAAGAAGGTCTTTACTGTGAGAATGGTGAGGCGCTGGAACAGGTTGCCCAGAGAAGTGGTAAATGCTCCATCCCTGGCAGTGTTCAAGGCCAGGTTGGACAGAGCCTTGGGCAACACGGTCTAGTGTGAGGTGTCCCTGCCCAGGGCAGGGGGGTTGGAACTAAATGTGATCTTAAGTTCCTTTCCAACCTAAACTATTCTATGATTCTTTGACAGTGTAAGCTGGAGCTGAAGGCTGTTGGAGGAGCAGTGGATCATGGGACAGCATTTGGGCGAATCGCATTCTCCTGTGCAAAGGAAGAGGTAACAGCCACGTTTCCCTCCCTGCCTTACATTGCCTAGAGCTGGCTAGCGAGAAGTTAATTTCTAGTATCGGCAAATATCTCGGTTAATACTGGGCAGATATTTATGTTCCTCGCAGTGGGAATGCAGCAGAGCTGTGGGTAATGGGGAACTGTAAATGGAAACAGTCTGGATACATCTGATCTTTACCTGACTTGGGCTGAATTTTGCTTGTTTTCTGTTCAAGTTGCCGAAGATTGAAGCGCTGATGAAAAAGGAGAATCAGAAAATTCTAACACCTCTGGTCAGCTTGGACACACCTGGCAAAGCCACAGTGCAAGTGGTTATTTTGGCAGATCCTGTGAGTAATATTGGAAATAGCAATTAAACTAGATTTAAATTTCTTCATGTCATTTACCTAACTTACCTGCTCTTACATTTGGTTTAGGATGGCCATGAGATCTGCTTTGTGGGAGATGAAGCATTTAGAGATCTGTCCAAGGTGGACCCTAACGGTGCTAAACTGTTAGATGATGTAAGTAATGCTGTCTCCATATCCATTTTCCTCCTGATCATTGATACCTGTAGAATCTAATTTTCATTCCATGTGGAGTTTTTCTGAGAAGCAAATCATACGGTCTTGCTAAGGAAAACAAATCAGTTTTGAAACTTCACTTTCAAAACTCCTGGATAGAGTTTTCCAGCCTTGCTCTTGGGGCAGCCGGGTGGTGTTGTGTCACCAACACTTTGGTGTAAGTTACTACAGGGAATGATGAGCTGCCATAATGTCAGTGCAGCTGTATGTCCCCCTGTGGCAGAGGGGCTCTGGTACAGAGCATGAGCTCTGCGGGAAGGCTGTGTTTAAACTGTCCTGCCTTGCTCTTAACAGCTCATCTGGTTGGTTTTCAGTGTCTTTTCCTTACTAGTAGCTTTCCTCCTGATTAAAAAGTGTCCTTTTGGTCAGTCTGGGGTGTGGGATGGGCTGGTGCATGTGAGCAGCAGCTCAGCTCCTGTTCTGAACATGTAAACACTTTCCTCCACACAGGCCATGGCGTCGGACAACAGTGACAAATGGTTTGCTGCGCAGAATATGAAGAAGGCTGCTGCTTAGCTGGAGGAGAGACTGGGCTGCTCCTTCTTGCTATGGTTTTCATACAGGAAAAATGCCAATCCCATGTACCTTGTTGCATTACCCCTTCCAGTAAGAGGGTGCTGTTGTGTCCTGCACTGTTTGTTTGATTTAAGCTTTTGTCTCTTCCTGCTGCTTACTCCTTTCAAGCATGTTCTCCTTCAAAAAAGTCAGGCTGCACAGCAGGGAGCAGGTTGAGCTTGTGGCTTCCAAAACAGGCCCTCCATTAAGAGGAAACCTCACACTTCTGTGTTGTTATACTTGAAAAAGAGGCTGCTTGACTGATTACAGTACCAAGTTCTCTAACTAATTGGCTTTAGCTGCCTTGGATTTGCTTCTCAGAGAATGGATTTTCAGGAGGCTGTGGGTATTGCAGCTACCCTGATTCAGTGGTGGAGTGTGGGGCTGAAAGGAAGGGCTGGGTATGGGGAACTGGAGCAGTTCAGCTGTCACAGCCTGGGCCTGTTCACTGTGAACAGTGAAATAACTCACTAAGTCACATGAAGATTATAGTCTGGAACAAATTCTCTTTTCATTCTAAGATGTTTCCCTAGCTTTCAAGGTGAAATCTTCACTTAAGAAGCCCAGGGCGTGTTTCTCACTGGAGTCACATTATTGATGTGGTGCTTTCCACCCCTTACCGAGGAGCCTTCCACATTCCAAGCAGGAGCTGGGGCCGTGCTTCTGAGTGTGAGGCAGCACTGTGCTGTCTGCAGAGGTGCCAGGAGGTGACTTGAATTAAGCACATAGTGAGTTTGCAATTAGCTTTTGATGAAAAATTGCCTTTGGAAGTAACAGTTTGGAGTTTATTCCGTTGGAATGAAGTCACTCTGCTTTTGCTAGTGGAATAAGGGCCGGGAATGCAGAGAGTAATTACAGCAATGTCTGCATCAGCCGTGCTGCCTGGTTTCTCATCTTCATGTTTCACAGAGAAAAAGCAGAAAAATCAGTAGTGCTGGCAGCCACTGAGGCGTGTCAGTGCTTGTAGTGAGTATTCTAAGTTAAAGCAGGAAAAATCACTGTGATATGTGTCATTTGAGCTTTTTGATTCAGGTTCAGTGATGATTTTGAATCACGTAGCGATTGAGTCAATGCCATGTGTAGCTGTACCCTGAAACCGGCGCTGCTTGCCAGTGTCACCGTTAAATCAATAAAGCGGTCCGGGAGGCCGGTGTGTGCTCCTGCTTCAGTGCACCGGCCCTTCCTCTCCCTTTTAATTTGAGCTCCTCATTTTCGTGCACGCAACTTCATCATGGGAAGGATGGGGCGGGACAGGCGGCGCCACCGCCGGGC